ATGTTTAAAAGCTTCATAAACTTTATATAGAAAATGTTATTTTTTAGAGACAGCCTTGAACTAACTGAAAATTCTACCAGTGGAGGCAAGTGCTTAATATTTATTTTCTAATGGAAACTGGAAGTGGGTTAATAGCGACGGAATAATTTACACGCAAAGTGTGCAATTACATGCAGTCAACAGGGTCCATAATAGTAATCATGGTCCACACGACTTCAATATCAGAAAATGTAAATAAACTTTAAGTATCTACGATAAGAAGAGCTACCTATGGAGCAGAGTATCAATGCACATTTTAGAAAAAAAAAGAGAGTGTGTGTTTGTCAAGACGATACACTATATTCATGGTTGATAGGCCGTAGCTTAGAATTATTTCTTTCTGAAGATTTTCGCTGTTTATTATGGTAATCGTTTGAGTGGTGCATTGAGTTCATTAGTCGCAGTTATTTATTTTGACGTAGTTTCACAGTTTACTATAGTACTAGTTGGTAAAGCATCAGATGCATGGTTAATATACACTTCGAACACATGTTTCTACAAGCCGTAGAAGATGTGAAGGAAATCATGGTAAACGAAGAAAAATCAGATTTTCACTCTTGTTTAGACTATAATATATATATATATATATATATATATATATATATATATTATATATATATATATATATATTATATATATATATATATATATATATATATATATATATATATATATGTATTTATATAAAATATAAAAATATAATACCAAATATAATATATTACTCAGCAGAGCGTCTTGCTCAAATCTTGCACGGTGAGTCTTGTTCTTGCTCAAATCTTGCGCGGTTAGTCTTGATCTTGGTCTTGCTAAAATTAGGTAGTCTTGGTTTTGATCTTGCGAATACGCAAGAACAAGACCATGACGGATTTTTGGGCAACACTAATGTATATAAATCTTTAGTTAGATCCAATATCGATTATGGTGCGTTAGTTTATTCCTGATGCAAAGCATCAGTATTGAACACCTTAGAAACTGTTCAACACGCAGCTCTACTAATAGCTACAAACGAAATTTAAACGACACCAGTTAAATATTTATAATGTCTGACAGGAGAACCATCCTTAAGTTTACGATACAAATATTTTTGTCTCTCATATACGTGCAAAATAGCTAGGAATAAAGAGCATCCTACTTACACCAGTACGTTCACAGATCGATTTCATGATCGATTTTCCATCTTTGCAGTAATGAATCCATGGTGCAATGGTGCAAAGATTTTCCATTTTTGCACCATTTTATGAAAGAGTTATAAGAAACCTTTGTGACCTACATCTTCAATTTCCTGACGTTTTCCAATTAGTTTCTTCCCTAACTTCTCTACCTTGGTTAATACCAGTTCTAAAAATTAATACCAGTCTTCGTATGTACAAAAGAGTGAGACCTTAACAGACGTTCTCTACATTGGTTAATACCAATTCCAAAAATTAATACCAATCTTCGTATGTACAAATAATTGAGACCTTAACAGACCTGATGAAACAGTCATTTTTAAAAGAAATGGAAGCTTCTATCACTATAAGATGCATCAAAAACATCAGATACGTCCTTAAAATTTAAATTTAAATCCATTACACTGTAGAGTTTTATCGTCATCATCATCAATGGCGCTACAACTCTTCGTGAGTCTTCGCTGCGTTTACTATTGCCTTCCATGTTTGTCAGTCCTGTGCCAGTAATTCCCATTGTCGCACTTCCATTTTCTCTAGATCTTCTTTGACTGCATCTTTCCACCTTTTTCTAGGCCGCCCTACAGACCTTCTTCCATCTGGCCTTTCCCAGAACACATTGTTTATAAGGCGATTGTCGTTACTGCGTATCACATGCCCTGCCCATCTGAGTCTATTGGCCTTTATATATCTGACTAGATTTTCTTTTCCGAATAGAGACTCTAGCTCGTTATTGTATCTGCCCCTCCATTCGTTTGTCACGCTGTCTCTGCAAGGGCCATATATCATTCATTCATTCATTTTTGACTTCATTAGATGTTGCACTGCAAAGAAAGATCTGTTTCCTGCCATTATTCTCGTTTCAACTTCTCGCTCTAATTTGTTGTCATTTGTGATTGTTGCTCCTAGATATTTAAATTCTTTCACCACTTCGAAGTTGTGATCATTTATAGTAATGTTTTGCCTTTACGCCGTCGTTCTTGTTTTGAGACGACCATGTATTTTGTTTTGTCTTAATTTATTTTTAGAACGATGTCTAATGCAGCTTTTTCAAAGCTCGAGAAAATAGATGTAAAGTTGTATGCAATATTACAAGCACTTATCCATATAAAAGAGTCGAAACAGTCACTGTCTCTCATAATTACTGAATTACTAAGCTAGCTTTACACTATCAAACATTTATATAGCAATAATCCTTACAGGTGAAATTAGAAATAGCCAACCTAAACGAAACAAAGATCACCGTCGACTTTATATTTGTACCATTACATTCAGGTATGCAAGGAAATGAAGAAGCAGACCAACTAGTCTGCTCATCCTTCAGCCAGGACTCCACTCACATTAACGAGGTTTGTTCTTATGATTTGATATCTGAAATCAAGTCTAAAGTGTTGAGTATGTAGCAAATCATGTGAAGTGCTTCATAAAACACAGTCAAAGAAATTAAACAATTAGTGAAACCAACATCGAACAGACCACACCAACTGAAAATAATGCCATTGCTGCTGGACAGAATAACTTCATTCATAAACACCTCTTTACACGAACTGAGTCACCAATATGCAGAAATTGCCGCTAACGTTGTCAATAACCCCTATGGTTTCAGCGAACTAATAAATGTTATGTATGGTCCTATACAGGTTAGACGCTTGGACTCTGAAAGCGGAATCCGTAAAAAATTAGAGGCATTCGAAATGTGGCTATTTAAGCGTGGTCTTAAAATGTCTTGCACAACAAAAGTCTCAAACGAAGAAGTGTTAAGACGAATTGGACATGGCAGAAAGCTTATTAACAAAATTAAAATATAAAAGACATCGTATCTGGGCCACATACTTCGAAACGATTAATACTCTCTTTTGCACGTCATTATGTAAGGAAGAATAAAGGGAAGAAAAGGGTTAAAAAGAGAGAAGAAATCTTGGCTGAGAAATAGAAGAGATTGGACTAACCTCAGTGTTGAACAGATATTTCACATTGGAAAAGAAAGGGAAGCGTTTAAAGAAGTGATAGCCAACCTTTGTTAGAAGACGGCACAATAAGAAGAAGATAATTGTGAGGTTAAGACAAACTAACACTAGAAATTTTAAGGAATCATAGAAAACTAGGCTTAAATTCAGGTTGATCCTGGATGCCTTTTGGATATGTTACCAATATCCTTTGTATTTTCAAATATTTCAATTTTTTTTAATTTATTTACGCTGTAACCACAAGGGTTATTATCGACCTAAAAAATATAATACAGGTAAAGTTAGAAAAAATTATATAAATTGATACCGTCCTGAGTCTTTAAGATAACTTATACAAGATAACTTGTTATGTTTGTTCGTTTCTAAGGTTTCCTTTATATTATTTGGGATTGTGTGGATCTTTCTTGATGCTTAATATGTTTTGCACTGAAATAATATATGTTTCACGGAGAGTGTTACTTGACAATTTTCACACATTGGTGGCACAGTTCGCGTAAAGAGGTGTTTATATGTAAAGTTACTGTGTCCTTGCAAACGTGTTATTCTCACTTGGTCGTGTCTATTCGCTGTGGGTTGGAGCCACGGTTTAACTTATTGTTTGATTTCCTTAGTTTATTTTGTGATGACTCCACTTATTTTGCCACGCACTAACACTTTACATTTTTTTTCTGGCTTAAAGTCAACTGAAGAAACCTAATCAATAAGGATGGAGTCCTGGCTGAAGGATGCTAAGCGGGCTAGTTCATCTGCTTCTTCATTTCCTTGCATATCTGAATGTAATGGTACAAACATGAAGTCAACAGTGATCTTATTATTATTTAGAATCTCTATTTCTGATTGGATATGTGAGGCAATTGGATTATTGGTATATAAACGTCTGATAGTGTGAAGTGAGCTTAGTGAATCGGTTATTATGAGAGACGGCGACTGTTTCGATTCTTTTATGTTCATAAGTGCTTGTAATATTGCAAACAACTCTGCAGTGTATGACAAAGTAATGGGATTGAATTTAAATTTTAAGGATGTATTGGGTGTGAGGATGGCTATACCAACACCGTTTGAAGATTTGGATGCGTCAGTGTATATCTTATAGTGATTTTTATGTTTCCATTTCTATTAAGAATGATTGTTTGGTCAGGTCTGTTATAGTCTCACTTTTTTATAAATACTAAGGTTAGTATTAATCTTGGGAATTGGCATTAACCAAGGTGGAGAAGTTAGGAAATTTGTTGGGAGAATTTCAGGAAATTCAAGATGTAGGTCATGAAGGTTTCTTCTAACTCTTTCGTAAAATGGTGGATCTAGTCTTGTTGTAGAGAAAGTGAAATCGATCTGTGAATGTATAGGTATAAATAGGGTGTTCTCTATTACTAGCTATTTTAGAAGCATATGAGAGAGAAATGGATTTCCATCGAAAACTTAGGAAGTTATTTCAACATTTGATAGATCTACATTTAAAAGTGTAATATAGAATATATTACCTTAAAAATAGCCTGCAGAGTACGGCGCTGGAGATCGGTAAAAACTAGTCTCGGTTTCTTCGGGGTAGGCAACTGTTCCGTATTGCTGGCAGGGTCCTCTTTCCGTTTGCAGCCTAAAAAATAAATCACTATTCTTTTTATACTCTTGGAAATGTTATCAAAGTTCTTATCTTATATTACTCGTTAAAATACATTATAATTTATTCTAGTTATTAAACTATTATGAATTCCTAGATTAGTTTTTTTTTTAAATATTTTTTAGCTTTTAGTATTTAGTTTGGACATTAATAAAAAGAGCTGTTCTAACTGATAACTAAATATGACTTAGCACTAAATGATAATGTTACCAATTTTTTTATTTTTCTGTTGGTAACATCATTATTTACCAACATTATAAAAGCATCATCCTCATCATCCCTATCATTGCACCTGCTAATAATTATCCTAAACAAACTTTGCATATTCGCATCTTCTTTAATATTAAACTAAAACAAAAATCTAAAGAATTTAACGGATACTGTTACTACTAAATTTTTCGTGATGGGAGGGAATATAATAGTCAAAGTATAAGATTTTACCTATTAAATTTCTCTATTGAGACGTTCATAAACAGTTGCTGCCAACGTTATTTTGTTGATAAATACTGAAAGCTAAAAAACAGATAATAGCCATTTGATTTTTTTATAAACGGATTCACAATCTCAATATAAAATAATAAAAATACATACATAATCTTGAAAATCACTGTAATAGGGGGCAATAGAAAATATGGTTTTATTTCAACGGTTATTTAGCCAGCGGAAAACACAAAAATGCAAAAAAAAAATAATTATTAAAAGACAAAATTAATTATTGGATATATACAGAAAAAATGTGGAGTGTCTACACGATTACAATGAAAAACCGAAAAAAACCGTGTAAGGATTAATTGATATGAAAAAATCTGGAAAACCCAAAATAGTGTAATCAAATGGCCACATTGTATAAAAAAAACTTAAAAAAAGATACTTGTATGCTGTTTTAAGTGTTTTTTGGTAGACATGACTCCGTCTGTTTTTCAACCTGCCTCCAGTAAGTTGTCATTCCATCGTTTTCGTGGTCTTCTCATTTTGGAATCGTCTCTCACTGTCTTTTTTACTCTATTTGGTGTCATTCGGCTTATATAATCGTTCCATTCTACTCCTATATTTTGTACCCAGTCCTTAATGTTTCTCCTTGTTGCATCTACGTTGTATATCTGTACTTATAGCTCTGTCCCATAGCCTCTTACCATCAATTTTTCTAAAAGTTTTTTCTGCTGTTTCTAACATTTTTTTGTCCTCTCTGTGTCAGGTCATGTTTCTACGCGTATATCAGCATTGGTCTGATGACTGTTTTATAAATCCTGCCTTTCATTTTTTCCCGATATTTTTATTTCTCCATATTGTTTCATTCAGGCAACCTGCGGCTCTGTTTGCTCTGTCACTTGATCTTCCACTTATTTTTCGAGCTTTCCGTATCTAGATAGTGTGATGCCTAGATGTTTAAACTCTGTAATTTGTTCTATTATCTGACGTTTTAGTTCCAATTTACATCTTACTAAATTTGCTGTGATAACCATGCATTTTGTCTATTTTGGGGAAATTAACATGTTTAATTTTCTAGCGGTTATATTAACTTAATGCAGCATGCGTTGTAAATCATCTTTACTTCGAGAGACTAATATTGCGTCGTCTGCAAAGCAGATTATTTTAATTTGTCTTTCTCGTATTTTGCATGATTTTTTAGTTCTTACTTTTTTTATTATTTCATCCATGATCAAATTAAACAATAGAGCACTGAGGGAATCTACCTATCTTATCCCATTGCTAGCTTTAATTGGGTCAGGTATATCTTCTTTTACTTTTACTTTTATTCTTATTATGGTAGATATTTTAGATCGTTCTGATTTATTCCTAGAGTTATCTCTCTTGCGTACAATAAGTGGATAACATCCTTTAATTTGACCTTGTCAAATGCCTGCTTAAAATCCAGGAAACACATATGCTAGTTTATCGTTTTCTAACGATTTCTCTTGCACTTGCCTCATCATAGACACAACATCGGTGCATGATCTATGTGCATTCAGTTTATTGTTTATCACTTTGGTTGTTAATTTTATTGTTGTGTTTGATAAATTAATTCTTGGCAACCTAAAGTAGTTTATCATTCACTACAATATTGGAATAGTTGTTTCAAATGCTTTGGATAAACTAAGGTGAATACTCTATCATTAACGAATACAATATGTGCTATATTTTGACAGTACCAATTATTTCATTTAATTACTAAAATAGTTGCCATCAGTCAAATTGTTCCTTTTCCTCAGGCTAGATTCCCCTGTAGATTGCCTACAAGATTTTCCTTATAATTTTACGTAAGTATAATTAACAGATACTTGTTTGATGTAAGCAAGGCCGAACTGGCTCAAAAAAGGGGCCAACTTTATCTCTAAACTGAATGCGCCAGATCCCCTCTCCTAAACTTTCGAATTAAAGTTTTTTGGAATCCTAATGCATGTAAAGTAAATCAATTTTTTAAGTTTCTTTTAATTTAAAACCATAAACTTTAATGTCAGCCAAGGCGAGGGTTTCTCGCCTTATACTCCGTTGTACTCTTTTGTACTGCCTGGATACTCCAATACATATTTCTAAGGTGTGAGTAATTTTTGAACTATCTCTAGAGAAGAATCTAATTGTTCAAAAAAATTGAGAAAAATTGTTGGTAGTCAGTAGAACTCCCTTTCTAAATTTATTTAGATTTTTCACTAAATTAATAGTTGAAAATAGGAGTTTTTTATGTTTCTATATATGAATCTACTCTTTTAAAAGTTAGGTTAGGTTAGTTTAAAAGAAGTTTCAGAACTTGCTTTATAAGCTTTTAGAGCTAATTTACTTATATTCATAGCTTTGTTTGTATGCGCTTCTAAATGTTTATAATAATTACATAATAGAAATGTTATTTCTAACGAGTTTCCATGAATTACTACAGGATCGTCAAAACTGTACGCATTTTCCACTTGTTCCACTACAAGACCTTGTTTCCAATTTGCGTGCCATTTACTTTACTTACAGTCAACAATTGTTTTCTTCCTATAAAAAATATATGTGTTTATGGAATCTTTATGAGCATTTAACTTTTCATGCTTAAATTAAATGTCTAAATAGGTTAAAACCTTGATAAAACTTGATGAACCATAAGAAAATTCCAAGCAAATACTGCAGTACTTTTTTTTGCTGCTGGAGGCAAACTGCAGGATTTTTTCACTTCTATTGTAAGCCAGTGACGATTTAATTTTTTACCATCCTCCAAATAAAAAAAAACACAAGCAACAATGCTCAGTATTGCATTCGTTTTGAATACAAAAGATGGAATTCAAAAAAAGTCATTTGTCTAACACACGAGGTTTTTTGAAGTAATTTTGGGAATTCGGCTCATCAACAAGTATTTCTCCGTTTCTCCTTTTCCTTCATTCGCTTCTTCCTCTCTGCACCGTTTTCTTTCTCTATTGCTTCGAGATCTTTATTTAAAACAAAGAAAAAATTACTAGTATTCATATTTTGATAAATATTTTCTTTTAAGGGGGATATTTCTTTGGAAAGTCTGCTCGATCAAAGTGCGAAATCGGGAGCAAGTTAAAAAAATTAGAGGAACGGTAGCTGTATTATCTTTAAATAATAGTTTTAAAAAATTTTTACGGATAGATGTTAACAAAGCACTGACCTTTAGGCCATTTGGCCGATCTTTGTGCAAGTATATTTAATCTAATAGAAAAAAATGTAAAAATACTCACTGCCTCGTTGAGGTATCTGTGCAGCTGTAAAAGGAAAAATAAATTAATACGATGTAAAGACACCTTATATTTTATATTTATACATAAAATGAAAGATTATTAAAACGGTAATATACGCGACAATTTTTGCCAAGTAGCGCTGCCAAAATTTGAAAACCAATTTTTGCAGATTGATTTTTCAAAAAACATGGGGCATGCATGTCTTAATGCTAGTTTTACATTTTTATTTAATCTAAATGCCATGATAAAATGTCATAGTTTATTCTCGGTGTCAATAACAAAAATCCACTATTAAAATATGTATATCTCTGTTTATTCAATCCTTAGACACGATGGACAGTACCAAACACAACTTAACTATCTACATATGTTTGGACAGTCTGGATCAGTTCTAAATTTGTCAAGTCGTTTAACAATTAGACCAAATATTAATGTATCTTAAAATTTATAAATCTAGACTGACAGATTGTTACCAAATCCAGATTTGCCAGATCAGGGTTTAGCATGGCATTTTAATTCCTCCAAATTTTGACATGCAACAACACCTGTATTTGTCCGATAATACGATCGTTTTACGAAAAAGTAACTATTATTTTAGAATTTATCCACTGGGTAGCGGTATTATAAAAGTAGTACTTTTGTCAAAGATTAAGACCAGTCTCTTCATTATGTACCGTATTATACATTTTGCAGTTTGTTAGTTTAAATTCCAAATAATATTTTTATACATCTTTCTCTGATGTATCTACCTATACCTTATCTCTTTTTTTGTGAGACGTTCTTGTTTTCTCACACCTTTCTGTTGTATATCTTGTTTAGAAATACTGATTTCGTCTCTTTAATGCTCTTGAATTAAAGGTTTTATATCTTAAGTCGTATGTCTGCTGGAATAGTAGTTTAGGCTCCATTATTTCGTGCTTTTGATTAGAAAAACGATAAAATTGAACAGAAGAAACACATAGTGATAACAAACAGTTTTCTGGTAGAGAGTTATATATTCTCGCACATATATAAATGAAATTAAACTACAATAGATTCAAATCCATTCGATTTATACATATAAATAAAATAAAAAATTAGGTAGTATCAAGAAAGAATATAACGCCTATAATATAACTCAGTCGTTATAAACAAAAAATAAGAAAGCCATCATTAAAAGATACAGGAATAAACGAATGATACAAGTTAACAGACCATGTACAGCTACAAAGACAATGAATTTTGTTTCGAACCACACATTTATTTCCAAATATTTTTCTTTCTATTTATGATTTTTAAAATAATTATACATATTTATGTATTATAGTCACTTCGTTAGCATATCGGCCCTAGTCTTCAAAATGTTTAGTGTTTTCTGTGAACTCGATGTTGAATCAGTTGACATGTTAAACCAAAGCGTTGCGTGAATAGATCAGCACAGTACTTGAAAGGTAAATTGTTCTGTTTACGTTAGTATAAGTAGGGACTGGGAAGTAGTCGGTCCTGCTAGGACCCTTCAAAATATTTTATATCTCCAGTGTTCTATTTTGTTTACCTTAAAGGTATAACAACTTCTTAACGTATCGTAAATTCAGAGCCAGTGTATGCTTTCTTTGTAAAAATTCTTCTTTTCTCAACAAAAATTTATTTTCAATCAATATTGTCTTGATA